TCATTTCGGGTGGAAATCCTGCATGCTCAATGAATGGGGCCTGACAGCCTTATTTATCTATTATTTATTCATTTATCAAGCCTAATTTAAAAAATTGAAAATTAATAACTTAGCAAAAATAAAATAAAGAAAAACGAAAGGGACATTCTTTTACTTTTTAATATCTTTAGCTTTTTTAAGCGATTACTGTTAGATAGTTTTAAAAAAATTGAATATACTTTTTTGAATGGTGCACGATTGATTGCATTAATTTTCAAATATGCAAGAACTTTTAGATATTTTAGCTACATTAATTAACTGAAAATAGAGCATTGCAAAAATCTCCTACATATTTAGCTTCAAAGTGCAACTTGATACATTATTAATTTATATATAATTTATTATTATTTAACGAATTTCCCTATCCTATATCTTCTGTGAACTGAAGAAATTTAAACTACAAATGTGACGAATTATGGTCTTCAGGTTAAATTAATATTAAGAACTTTCTAAATTAATAATCTTAAAAACAAATAAATGTCCTCCTATAATATTTTAAATGATCTCTTCATGTTATCACTGAAATTTGCATTTTTGGAAACATTGATGAACATTGGACAAATAGTCTATAAAATGTATTTTTTTAAATGTATTGGGTTGTCCGGAAAATAATGCAGGATTTTGGTATTAAACAAAAAAAAAGAAACTAGTTACTTTAAAGCAATGTTCTTTAATCAAAATAATTTCCCATACTCTCAATACATTTCTCCCAACGTGTTGGTAACTTATTAATTCCGTCTGAGTAGAATTCAGAATTTTTAGAATTGATAAAGTCAATAAATGCATTTTCCAGTTCCGTTTGATTTTTGAATATTATGTGTTGTAAGTAGTGGTCCAGGTGTCTAAAAAAATGGTAGTCAGTAGGCGAGAGGTCCGGAGAGTAGGGTGGGTGAGGCAAAGTTTCATAGCCAAGCTCCAATAATTTTTGTGACGTTACACGTGACACATGTGGTCGAGCGTTGTCATGCAACAAAATGGGCCCTTTCCGATTGACCAAAGAGGGCTTCATTACTGCCAATTTCTGATGCATGGTATTAATTTGGTTACAGTATGATTCAGCATTGATGGTTTCGCCAGGATTTAAGAAGCTGTAGTGTATTAAACCAAATGAAGCCCACCATACCGTAACCATTACCTTTTTTTGATGAGTTGGGGGCTTTGGAAAATGTATTGGAGCTTCTCCTTTGTCGAGCCACTGTCCAGAACGTCTAGTGTTATCGTAGAGAATCCACTTTTCGTCACATGTAACAATTCTGGCCAGAAATGGGTCATTTTTGTTTCGACAAAGAAGTGATGCACAAACATCAAAGCGCTGATTTTTTTGGCGATCGTTTAATGAGTGTGGAACCCAATTTTCGAGTTTTTTCACTTTTCCAATCGCCTTGAGGTGGTCAGCGACGGTCGTTTTACTGACTTTGAGTTGCTCTGCAAGTTCTCGAACAGTTGTTTTGGGGTTTTCTTCCACCACTGATCGCAGAACATCATCATTAAGAGAGGAAGGCCTTCCACGACCTTCTTCATCTTCAAGGCTGAAATCTCCCTCCCGAAATTTTTTAAACCACCTTTGCACAGTGCACTCATTAACACAACCCTCGCCCCAGACTTGGTTAATGTTTCTAGCCGTTTGGGCTCCGCTTCGGCCGAGTTTAAACTCGTAAAAGAAAATCGTACGAAATTCTCGCTTTGACATTATAAGGATGACTGAATTATTTCCAAGTAGCGGAATGCTACAGAGGTAAACAAACAATATCATTTGGAAGAGGATTAATAAGTGTTGACATTCATACAAATGAGTAATCCTGTAAACGTAAACAGAATATTTTATATAGATTTTTTTTAATGAAAACTTAAAATCCTGCATTATTTTCCGGACAACCCGATAATATATTGTACATTAACAATATATATTATTAAAAAATTTGTTGGTAGTGTGTAATATGTAATAAAATGATATGATTAAAACCCATATTTATTATGTTATCTGGTATAATTCTTTCATAAAAAATACCACAAGTGATTCAATGTTTTATTTACGTGTTTATGGGAGTAGAGCTTATTTTTTTTGAAACTGGTCATAAAAACGTTAAAACTGTTAAGTATGCAAATATTGTTATGTGATTATCTAAGCAAAATAAATATATCTAAATACTGTCCTTCAATTTAAGTCAACTGTACATCATTTTTTTATGGTATGGATAGCAACTAGAAACGTCAATAATACTTACCTAAAGTACTTGTAAAGAATTTCTGATTATTATGATATGACTAAGGAAAGGCATAAAAAAACTCAATTTGTGTTAAAACATTTTAATTTTGTCCACCGGCCATCAGAATGCGTTGGAGGCTGATGACTTCCTTGTCAGTAGTCTCAACAAAAAGAAAATCTATGTTAGGTGGAATACTATGGTACTGAGTAAATGAACTAAGAGGAAAGAAATGAAATGTTGATTTAATTTTCTTCCTCTTTTCATTTCATTAATTTCTTTCTTTCTTATTCTTCCTTGCACGTAGAACGCATATTGGAGGCAATTTTATGAACAACTTGTAGATTAGTCGATTGTAATTGCCAGTTATAGGTGTTTTGGAATTTCGCAATTTACAATGACGAATTTTCTGGAAGGGATTATTTACAAAGATATCAAATAGGACAAAACCAGTGAGAATGATGCTAGGAAAGCCAGGATGATCGGAATCAACCAAACTTCATCAGACTAAAAAAAAAATCTTAAAATTTAACAGTTTTTCATACTTGACACTGAGACGTGTCATGAAAAATAAACCTCTCATACCTCCAAAAGTCATACTTTTAGCTGGAGAAGTCAAACAAAAGTGAGATGTAAAGTATGACAAAGTGCATCATTTATCCCTTAGACGACGGGATGAAGGCATGATGGAATTTTCCCGTCCGTCTGATCCCAGATTATCCGGGTCACGGGGGCTGGAGCGCAAAAAGAATTATGAATACAAGAGGGTAATCGCAGTCTCAGGAGTGCGTTATACGGGGGCAATTAGAGTGAAAATTGTCGTCAATGGAGCCCGTCGACCGCCCTCTACCTGGCCCATTGTCGCCTCGGCATTAAAGTCTCCCACGGAAGAAAAAAGAAAAAGAAAAAACGGTTTGCATTGTGGACCGTGGCGGGCCCGGCAGTGATGAATACCTCTGAATGTCAACTATTTGATTCGAATTACGATCCAACCTGCTTATAATTGCCCGCCTAGAAGAAACGTTACCGAAAACACCGAAGCACATAGTTTGAATTCTGAAAATATATCCAAGTTTTGAGCCTCATTAATTTTACACTCTTCTAACATAAATAAATGTACGTTTCAGACTGACAAATTGGCATTTCTTCACCTGAAAATGATTATTAATTGATACAAAGAATTTGAGAATATTTTGAGACATTTATCGTATGGTGGCGTGGAACTATTATTTTGGTTTTGTTTGATCAACAACACTACTTTAAAGTTATTGCTATTTATTTACCTAAGAAAGAAATTTGATCAATTAAAAAATTCTAAAACGAAGGATAATTAAATATATACAAAAACCTTTAAATTGATCAATAAATGGAAGAAACATGGGGATCTTTGTACGCTTATTTTTGAAGCAGTTATTCTCAGTTATTATGTTAGCTAGTTTGGTCTAGATTTCTGAGGGGAAATAACTCCTAATCTTTTAAGAATGAAAAGAACGGAAAAATTGTATATTTTATGATAATCTCGCAAGCATGTACAAAACAACAAATTACAAACCAAATTTATTCAAAGTTTACCAGTGGTATAATAACAATTAGAAGACTAGAAATGCTAATTATGTTGTTTTTTGTTGTTAATTGTTTTGTTCAACGCTAACGTATATAAAATCAATCATTATTAGTTGAAGAAGTTATTTAGCTTGTAACTGCAGTGCCAAGTGATTAACTGGCATTTATTTGTGATTTATTTTTATACTATTTAAACCAAATTTTTCAGTAAGAATATACCAATAGTATCATAACCATATCATTATATTCTCAAAGCATTGTAAATTGCAATAAAAATCATGTGAAGTTTAAAAAAAATTTCGCAATTGGAATGGTTTCAAAGCGTTTGTTTTATTTTGCTGATATTTACTGTAGATACTTGACAGCTAATACATGTTCGATGCATCTAGTTTATTATTGATTAAAAATAAATAATTATGTTTATCATGTATTTAAAATGAAATTACAATGATATAATAATGTCAAATGATTTATTTATGTTCCTTTCATTTTTGCAAAATGAATAAATATTGTAATGCACGTGTTAAGTAATGTTAGAATACTTGAACCCTTGATTTCGGAAAGGTTAATGATTCAATTAATTCATTTTTTACTTTAATTCTCATATACAAAGAATGAATCATATAAGAATAGATTATTTAGGTTTTTCTGTTAATTAATTATTTAACAGGTCAATTTGATTAGGTGTTAGTTTTCATTGTTTTTCTTTAAGATATTGTAAATGTTGCCAGTAATTTCATTTTTGTTTATACTAAGTGTTTTGTAAATGAAAGTTATCTATATTTAAGACTGATGAGAAAACTTTTTCACTTACACTGACGAGGTGTGTACACCAATAAGGATTCCGTCCATAAAATGTTTAATTTCAAATTATTACATTGAGAATAAAATAAATGTTTAGATTCTATGGGAAATATCTGTCTTCAAATAATCTAGGTTTTATTCGTGAAAAAATATTTTCGATCTATTCGAAAATCAAATAAAATCCGCGTAACGTATTTTAACTGAAAGGGGTTGGTGTCCTAGTGGCACTGTCCGAAGAGTCGGATTACACCCGATGGTCGTCCGCAAGAGAATGAGGTGTGAGACGAGGAAGATATGCTCTGGAGGGGCGACCTTGCAGTAGCATAGCGGCCTCTGCTGGAGGCAATCAGCACCCAAATAGGACTATTCTATGTAGTGGGGGCACGGAGGGACAAGGACAGGGTTCACACAACTCCAGCTCAGTCACAGTTGAGAATCGATCGAGCGAGGTGGTCTCTGTTCTTGGATTAAGTGTTAGTGTGCATTGATGAGTGAGTTGAGTGGTGGTGCGTGGCGGGTTAGGGCTCGACTATCATGATGAGAGAGTGAAAACCCGTGGAACAATGCGGACCAGCTCGTTGGTGTTTCCACTTCTTCTGGGCGCCGTTTTCGGCGTCTTGACGGCTTCTTTGAGCAAGGCGCTGAGGTACCAGGCTCCGGACGAGTGCAAGTGGATGGCGGTGACCAGCTCGGGCGAAGAAGAAGTCTCCAGCGCGACAGAACCTGACCAAGAAGTCGCGTTGATCTGCCACCTCAGAACGATTAATTCCGAGTTGGAGAACACCAATTTCAGCGTGATCCAGTCGCAGTATACCGTGCGGCTTAGGATAATATGTGCGGATATGCTCTACTTCCACAGCGCCTTGACTCCCGGGAGCCTGCAGACGTTGACCGACCTGAAAGACCTGTCCATAGAATACTGCAAAGTCGCCAATCTCACGAGCGGCGCGTTTAGAGGTCTGAGGCAACTGAGGAACCTCACATTGAGGACCCACAACACGGATTGGTCTCCGGTCTCACTTGAAATCTACCCGGGCGTGTTTACGGAAGAGCTCGGATTGCTAGAGCGTTTAGATTTAAGTATAAACAATATTTGGAGTTTACCGGACGGGGCTTTTTGCCCCCTTCACAGTTTACAGTTCCTTAACCTGACGAGAAACAGGCTTAGAGAAGTTAATAATTTACGATACGGGAGTTCGAATTCGCAGAGGTGCGGCGTAAATTTACGGACTTTGGATTTATCGAATAACAGTATAGATTCATTATCTGCGGGAGTGCTGTCGAAATTGTCCCGTCTCCAGGAGTTGCACCTGGAAAGCAATGTCATTTCGTTTATGGCGGATCACGCTTTGGACGGATTGACCTCGCTGACGTACTTAAATTTAGCGGATAACAAACTAGTCAATCTTCCGCCAGAGATTTTCTCCGACACGAGAGAATTGAAGGAACTTCATTTGCAAAACAATTCAATTAACGTTCTTGCCCCCGGGCTTTTCTACGGACTCAGTAATTTGTTAGTGTTGGATTTGTCCGAGAACGAGTTGACGGAAGAATGGATTAACGGTGCCACGTTCGCCGGACTTCTCCACCTCGTCATCCTCAGCATATCAGGTAATAATATCGTCAGATTAGAAATGTCAGTTTTTAGAGATTTGTACAGCTTGCAAATTTTGAGATTAGAAGATAATTTGATCGAATCCATTGCTGACAATACCTTCATTTCTTTAAACAATCTTCACACTTTGTCACTTTCGAACAATAAACTGACGAAAATCGACAGCAATACGCTCAGCGGCCTATACGGGCTCAACGTCCTTTCTTTGGATAGCAACAAAATACAATACATCGACCCGGAGTCCCTTAGAAATTCGTCCGTCCTCCAGGAGCTGCATCTGAATAGCAACAAACTTCTAGATATACCTGCCGTACTTTCTGACGTACCCCACCTGAAAACCTTGGACTTGGGAGATAATTTAATAACAGAAATACTCAACACATCGTTTACCAGCATGCGCGAACTGGTCGGCCTACGTCTCATCGAGAACAACTTGACTAATATAGCGAAAGGAGTTTTCGACAAGATGCCCTCTTTAAAAATTCTCAATCTATCGAGTAACAAATTATTAAAGGTAGAACCGGGCAGTTTCGACAAGAATAAAAATTTACTCGCCATTAGGCTGGACGGAAACTATTTAACGGAAATTAATGGACTTTTTGGAAAATTGCCTAATTTGGTTTGGTTGAACATATCCGAAAATCTTCTACAGTGGTTCGATTACGCGCATATCCCGACTGGCTTACAATGGCTGGACATCCACAGCAATCAAATTACCGAGCTGGGTAACTACTTTGAAATCGAAAGCCAATTACACCTGACTACCTTTGACGCCAGTAACAATAAACTAGCCGAAATTACAGGGAGTGCCATCCCGGACAGTGTCGAGATACTCAATCTTTCTAACAATCTTATCTCCAAAGTCCAATCTTATACTTTTTTCAAGAAGCCCAACCTGACCAGGGTAGAATTAATCGGGAATAAAATTAAAAGCCTAACTCAAAACTCATTAAGGATATCGACGATCCCTCCAGGAAAGCAATTACCGGAGTTCTATATCGGAGGTAACCCTTTCCAATGCGACTGTACGATGCAATGGCTTCAACAATACCCTGGTGAACAACAAGAACGAAATAAGCCCCGTCTGATGGATCTAGATTCAGTTATGTGCAAACTTCTCTACAATCGCGTTAATACGTATGTGTTGTTAAAAGAAGCGACTCCGGACCAGTTTCTCTGTCAATACGAATCGCACTGTTTTCCGTTTTGTCACTGTTGTGATTTCGACGCATGCGACTGTGAAATGACGTGCCCTACCAATTGCACGTGTTACCATGATTTGTCATGGACAGCGAACGTCGTCGACTGCAGCAGTTCCGGCTATGTAAATAACTTACCGGATAGAATCCCGATGGACTCGACGCAATTGTACCTTGACGGCAACGACATCAAAGCGGTCGGCAGTCACAGTTTCATTGGGAGGAAAAAATTGCAAGTGCTGTTCCTCAACTCTTCAAACGTCGAAATTATCCACAACATGACGTTCAACGGGTTAAAAGATTTGGTGATTTTACGCCTGGATGATAACAAAATACAAAAACTCAACGGTTTCGAATTTGAAGGACTGGAAAATCTGAAAGAACTGTACTTACAGAGAAACTACATAACCACTATCCACAACGCGACGTTTGTGGGACTTTTACAATTGAGGATTTTAAGATTGGATCATAATAGATTAGCCAAATACTCCGTTTGGCAGTTATCATCGCATTTAACGGAAATCACTATTGGTGTCAATCCGTGGTCTTGTGACTGTGAGTATACAGAAAGGTTCAAAGAATATCTACTTTACACAGGAAGTGCAATAATAGACGTTAACTCAGTCCGCTGTTACAACGGGTCGGAAAATGACCCGGGATTTTCGATTTTGCGGGACAACATCACTTGTGTTCAGGAGAGCATAAGCAACTTCATCGAACCTCCGGTCAACGGAAACTACACCTCAACGACTATAATCCAGAGGCAGGAAATTCAAGACTACATTCCTTTGTTGGTCGCGACATTGGCGGTGTTTTTCGCAGTGATAGTGTTCACTTGTCTGATATTCATGTACAGGCAAGAAATGCGCGTGTGGTTCCACTCCAAATTTGGAGTGAGGCTCTTTTACCGAACGAGTGACATCGAAATGGACGATCGGGATAAACTTTTCGACGCGTTCGTTAGTTACAGTGCGAAAGACGAGGCCTTCGTGGCCGAAGAACTCGCGCCGATGCTCGAAGGCGGAGATCCGTCCTACAAGCTCTGCCTTCACTACAGAGAATTTCCCGTAGGCGGTTTTTTAGCAGACACGATAGTCCAGGCGGTGGAATCTTCGAAGAGGACAATCATGGTTCTTTCGGAGAACTTCATCAAGTCGGAATGGTGCAGGTTCGAGTTCAAATCCGCCCACCACCAAGTCCTGAGGGACCGACGACGAAGGCTCATAGTCATAGTCCTTGGGGAGGTCCCTCAAAAGGATTTGGACCCCGACATCCGGCTCTACCTGAAGACCAACACTTACCTTCAGTGGGGCGACAAGCTTTTTTGGGAGAAGCTCAAGTTCGCGTTGCCGGACGTGCCGAACAACCAAAGGCCGAAGAGCAACCATCTTCACGGAAGACATGCTGTCCATCACCACGTCCATCGGAACCATAGTAATCCCAGGTCTGTTGCCATTCACATTTAGTGATCTGTGATAATAACTGTCCCTCGAAGTGTAATTTAATAAAATGTATAGCTTATTATTTATGTAAAACTCTTCTGTACAAACTTTGTAAATAGCCAGAGTATTATTTTATTTAACGGAAATATCAAAAATCAAGTCACTAAATATGTAAATTTTTTGCCAGATTATTTATTTTTCCTTTATTATTTCTGTTGACGCGTAATGCTATTCTAGCGTAACGTAAAAAAGTTTTACAGTGAAAAAAAATGTATAAAACAAACAATTATTTCGTTTTTTGTGTAAATTCGTGTAAATTTTTGTATATTTATTATTGTTTACTTTTAATTTCACCATAAACGACTGAAAAAGAAAACTATAGATTGTGTGATATATAAAATAAGTCATTTTTTGTAATTATTTTTTATAAATATTGTTCATTTGACTCGCCATTGGGATCTTGTTATCGAGATATAATAAATCCCTTATTTAAATTTTAACTCTGGTTTATTTATTTTTGAACCCAATTTTATTTTATTTGAAATTCGACGAACTGAAATGCTTCAAATCTATAATGGAACTAACAATTCACAATAATTCTGCTATTTCTTGTGCGGAACAAAATAGTGTTAAAAAAGTAAAAACCAAGCTCTTATTTGTATTATTTATCAAACTAATGAATAAATGATTGTAGGTTGGTAGATAGTATAACCTGTAACGTCAGATTCAACATGGTTGATGTTTTCTCATTATTTCTTATCTTAAAAAATGTCTTTGAATCGCAGATTTGGTTAATTCACACTACGAAAAGCAATCTGTAAGGAAAGGGTTAAAGATTGTTTGCTTTGCAAAATATAATTTTATCATATTAATATTGTTCAATTGAATATGAGGTTATATTTTTTGAACCATTTGTCTACAATTTCCTACTACGTAACTTAGCCTTAAAATCAGGTGATGCAAGTAAATTTAACCATGTTTTGTCAGCATAATTGATGATGAAGATTTTGTTCCTACCGGACCGGAAATTTGGAGATGAAATATTACACACATGTAGAAACACTCTGCCCGATAGGAAAAGGTTATCGTCTTGTTATCGTTTGTTATACTTGTCCTAATTAGTTTTAATTATCATTTTGAACCGATTCGATTAGAAAATAATCAAAGAGGATTTCTATATAAAAGAAATAAGTTTACAAATCGAAATTGGAAAATAACTTTTGCCTTAAAATACTACCTTCATACTGGTTTATATATGAATTTGAATTTTTCTCTAATAATATTCAGTTTCATGAATTTTATCGATAACGTGAGTTAAGAATATTTTTTTACAGATTTTTAGTTTTTTATCAACGAAACAATTCAATTCATTCCTTTATCATCTCATTTCCACAACAGTTTAGTTTTAATAATAGTTTAAATATATAAGTTCACACCGTTTACTTAAATATGTCGTTTATTTCTCAGTAATTAATTATAAAACAATTTCTTGAAATAGATTTTCACATGTTAGTGAAACTTACATCAATCTAACACCACAAGTCAATTTCTTACAAGGTTGATAATGCTTCTTTTTATTTTTCGGTAAATCGTGATATTTTATGGTAAGGTCTGCTTTAGCAATATTTCCATAATGTTTATTTAATCACGAGTATTACGTTAAATTGGTAAAATTATTTCTGCTCGAACTAATAATTATCTTTAATGTAAAAAGGTTGTAGCTATTTTAAAGAATTGTACGGATTACTGAGGGAACGAGCGATTTAATTTTTTGATTGGGCTTTCTGTGGTACCGTTTTATTCGAATGGTTCAAGTCTGTTTGATCGGGTCTTCAATAATATTCGAGATTGTTTTTTTCCCGTAGTATATGACCAGGTGAGGGCACGACTAACTGCTACGGCATGATAACATAGACTAATGGGGAGTATAAAATACCGACGTAGTTAGGAAGGGGGTCGGGGAACCACAACCTATTATTTGTAGCTGTCCAAATTACCGCCGGCCGACCGCTTCAATTAAAACTTCAACCGGTCTAAAAAGATGATAACGACAGAATAGGCGAACAAGTAAAGGAACGGGGTTGGTTCGGGCGTTGAAACTGGTGTAATTATGCTTTGGATGGTGGATGCGGTGTAATTGGCCGAAGGCTCAGTTCTCATAAAACTATACTCTGGAAAAGGATCGCCCGCTGAATTGATAAATACAACCGGTGCGGCTTCTTTGCTCATAATATATTGGAATGGCTTTGTCATTCGTTATTCCTAGGCGGCCTTCTTTTTTTTTTCTTTTTTCGTAGCGATCCGGTGTAAAATTAGCCTACGCCGACCTGTCAGTGAGGGAGAAAAAGAGGTACGACCCGAAACGGGCTCAGGTATGCCTCGATCTTGGAACGAACCCATCCAAAAGCAAAATTATTGTGAGGGAAAATCGACAGGTTTTGTTGCCTTTATACCACTTTACTATCTCGGACACGCTACTTGTTGTTATTCAAAACTCTTTTACCTTTATGCTATCAGCTTTGATGGTTCCAGCAGTCAGACGATTACTTTCAAAATACTCCTGCGCCTCTGAATACTTAGTAAAATTATACCTTTACCTGCCTAGAAATCCTTTCGTGTAAATATTTCTATTGGACTATAGACAAAACTGTACATACATTTTCTTGGTTTTACAATGAATGAGTAGTGAAAGCCGACTTAGAATCTTAAAAAACCTAAGAATTTTTAAGATAGTAATTTAAATTAAGAACAATTACCTAAATAATGTAATACGATTTTGTTTATATTTCTGGATAGAGATTATTTTTTAATCGAGAGAGCGTTGTTTTGAAAAATGTAAGTTTCAACGCAGGAAAATAAAGGAAAAATGTGCACCACCTGCTCAATTGTTTCTAGTGCAATTTTCTAATCAAAACAAACTTCCTGGTAAACACTGAAATAATTAAATTTAAATTTTCTATATAAATTTTGTTAATAAATGAACAAACATAACGAAAAACGATACCAATCAAAAAATACTTCGGCATTTAAAGAAATCCAGTGTTATGAAATAAAATTTATTAAGATACTTTTCCATATTAAAAATAAAAAAATATTCTTATGTAAAGTTAAAAAAAGCTTAATGTTACTATTATTACGAATGAACTTGAAAACTTGACGCTTTGTTTATTTATTCTACATAGAAAGATTTTTATTAGAAATTCATTTAATAAGACCTTTAAATTGCAAAATTCCAATTAAATTGTTTCATTGTTTACAAAACATATTTTTTAATTACAAAATTGCTACAGAGTGTATACTAAAAGGTGGTGCTTTGTGTGCCCTTTAATGCGTCGCAAAATTCACCACCCTAAATATAGAGCATTTTCCAAGTCTATTTGATCCCAAAGGCAACTGTAATATTTTACATACCAAATACAGTCTGTTGCAAGTCGCAAGCAACCCTTTCCAACCGGTTCCAATAATTCAATTGTTACTCTTGAAGATTTTTTTGCCATACTCCGTGTGTAATGTTGGGCCCCTGAATTCTAAACATAAAACAAGTTGCTTCTTAGTTTTTTAAAATTTATTTTTAATTAAAGTTATAAACTCATAGAAAAATTATAGAAACTGTTGTTAAATTCAGTTTCCATTTTTTTTACTTTCTCACAAAACAACATATCAACATATTAACAACATTTTGCATTTTGATTATTCCTTAATTTTTCATAGAAAGTACAATTATATTTGATAATAAAAACATAACACATTACCATTTATTTTGAAAATAAATTTTCGTTACTTTGCTTTACATTTGTGTTAATACACGTTTCGAAAAAATAAACATTGCAATCAATTTTCCCGGTGAATTCTGTGGCCTCAATATCCCCCATTACACAGTAGGATAAATTTTTTTTAAGGGTATTATTGAAATGGAAACGATTACAATTCCAATATAACGAGTAACAATTGAGTTGTAAGAAATTACTCATATTAAAAAATTCGGAGATCGTGAGATGAGGTCTGGTGTGACGTAGGTTTTAGAAAAACAATTTCTTTATTGTGACAGCGTTTCGATCTTTATTGATATCATCTTCAGTTGTTGTTTAAATTTTTTTCTCATCCTACATGTATTTGAATTATGTTTATAAATCCCAGGCCCTGAAGATGATCTCAATAAAGATCGAAACGTTGGCGTGGTAAAGAAAACATTTTTTCTAAAACGAACGCCACACCAGTCCGCATCTCACGATCTCCGAACTATCATTGATTAACGGTCACTAAACACCACACATATTCAAGTTACATTTAACTAGAAATGGAGTGGGCTACATTTGATTTATAACAGGTAACACAAGACTAGGGAAAAGTTCAAATAGACTTGGAAAAGATATGTATTAATAAAGGTAACACTAGTCCACTAAGCATAGAATGTACCTACAATTAACCGTTTCTGATCGGTCGATAATTTACGGTAACTTTGAATAAAATCAAGTATATTTTAAAAATAGTGTAGGTAAATTTTTTAATCATAAATAAACAGACCAAATATATTTATTGATACATTCCCTTTTCAGTAAATTAATAACATTAATGTCAAATATTTGTTTTAATTAAATAATCAAAGGGTTCAACCACAAAATGAATTAACATGTTCTTATTGTATGCATAGTTATATATTTTAAATTATTTGTTGAAACGTAGAAAAACCTATAACTTTTTTATAAGCAGTAATTAATACTTTTTTAAATTACATCAAACAATATTAGGATAAGATTTATACGTTGAAAGGAAATAATTAGACAAAGATAATCGGTCATATAAAGATAATAAAATGTATGAAAATAAATAAAATGTAAAATAAATATTAGAAACAAACTGATTTTATGTTAATTACTTGTTTACATATCTTAAGTTTGTCTTAGGTTTGTATAAAACAATTGCTTTGAATATTACAAATATGTAGTGCCTAGAAGAGTCGGTATCTTTCAGGTAAACACTTTTTACATTAAAAAATTAGATCCAACTATATATTTATTTGTAATTAAAATCATTCAACTCCACATACTTAAAAACTTATATACTATATGTCTATTATGATAGCTTTTGAGTGTCACTTTCCATGTAACTCCAGTCGATTGTTATGTTTTTTCTAATGTACGCCATGAAAATCGATGTCTTGTTTCCTTAGAAGGAAATTAATGTATTTTTCTTCACTTGTCAGCGGGGGAATTGCATTTAAGGCATTAATTTAAGGTTTTTAGGACAGTGGCCAAATTGATCAATGATTTTGGTTACGAAAGAACTCCTACGTTGAACTGACCTTTTCAACCGTTCC